TGTTGGACCAATTGATTTGCCCGTCGCTCATGTGCATGGAGCTGCTCGCGCGACGGCTGGCATTGATCAAGAAGGCCATCGGGTTCTCCCGAGCCAACCCGGCTACAGCGCTGCCGACCACTTCATGGGCTGGAGCCGGCGGGCAGAAGGGGCCGCGATCGCGCCCGGCCTGTCTCTCCAGCAGGGGTCGGCGATCGCGAAGGAAGCCTGCGAGGCGCGGGAGGAAGCAGCCGCCCGCGCCAATGGGTGGCCCAAGGGTGGCAAGGGCGGCGACGGCTCGGCGGCGGCCCACGCCGCAGGGGCGCAATGATTCGGAAGTGTCCGCGGGGGCGGCGACTGGGCCCGCCTGCCCCCCTCGCGCGCCAGCCTCGCTACCCTGACCGCGGCGATGGCGGCGGAGTGCGGCGAGTGCCCAGGGAGCTCTCCCCGCCCCCAAGTTTTGCGGAGGCGGCGCCAGAGGCCCCCCATCTTTCTCACTCTGTTCGCCAGCGGCTTCGACAGCGGCATGCCGGGGGGGGGGGGGGGGGGGGCGACGAGTGCATTCAGGCCTTGAACGAGCTCTGCGGCACGCCTGTCTCGGAGTCGCCTGCAATGCCAATGGCAGACAAGAGCGCGGCCCAGGAGGCGGCGGCTCAGCGCGCAGTTTTGCGGCGCGCCCCTCCTGATTTTTCTCGCCGACGAGAAGCCGTTCGCGAGCTTCTCGGCTCCGTCTGACTTCTGCTGCGACGGTGGGGAGGTCCCATGCGCTGCGGCCAGGCGCGATGCGACGCCGGTCGCGGCGCCGGAGGAGCTGGGCCCCCCCCCCCGCCGCGATCGATGCGCTCGACTCCGAAAGGGCTCAATGTCTCTGGGAGGTCAAGCAGCGAATGATGTTGACTGAGGACGAGTTCGGTCAGCAAGCAGTGTGAGAGCGAGCCGCCGGGCGTGCCGCGCATGGACGAGAGCCCGCTGGGCGACCCCGCTTGCGCGCTGATTTCGCGACGAGGGTCGACAGAGCCAATGGGCCGAGGTACGCGACCGACCCGCAGGATCTGATTGCGCCGTTTTTTTTCGTTCGCGCGAAGTCGGGGCAGTCGCAGATAGTCCGGGGTCGCAGGTCGGTCAATGCACGTTTCACTAAGTGTCCGTAGCTGAGCGCGGCGTCGGGCAGCAATATGGCGGACCTCGATTTCGCCTCTCGCGGGGGGGCGTGCGCGGCGCAAGCCGACCAGACCAACTACTTCGACCACCTGGCGATCTCGCCTGAGCTGTCCGAGTACTTCGCGCTTCCGAAATTGGGCGTGACCATGCCCCGCGGGGCCTGCGAGCTCCCCTCGGCGATCGCGAGCCTCCCCGATGGCTCCCTGGCGCCCCCCTGCCGCGCCGCGGCGCCGCTGGGCTGGAGCTGGGCGTCGCGGGTCGCGCGGCGGGTGGTTTCTCCACCGGGCGCGCCATGAGCGACGGGCAGCCCGCGCCAGACACGGCGGACGGGAAGCCCGCGCTGCTGGCCTATACGCCGACAACCTGAATGTCGCGGGGTCCGACTCGCGCAGGGTCGGGGCGGCGCGGGGCGAGCTGGTCAGCCACTTCCGCCGCGTGGGGTTCGTCGCGCACGAGATCTACGGGCCGCGAAAGGCTCGCGGCGCCCGTGGACCGCAAGCTGGGGTTGCTGACGGCCGCCGGCCAGCGGCCCCTTCGGCGCCCCTGCGTCAGGGGCAAAGTCTTGGAGCGATTCGCAGGACATTGCAGTCGCAGTTGCATGCTGCGTCGTGAAATGTTTTCCATCTTTCACTGCGTCTATTTTCATGGCGGCTCGCCCCGCTGTCCGCTGCAAAGTCCGGGGATCCGTCTGCCGCGAGATCAGATGGTTCTTCGCGCTGTTGCCGTTTTACCGGGCGCGGCTCGATGGACCATGGAGCCCCGGCCAGGGTTACTTCGTCCGACGCCTGCCTCGCTGGGCATGCTTTATGTTCGCCGGTCTTGGGCTCGAGGGCCATCCAGAGGCTGGGGGGCGTCGGGGGGAAGTCTAAGGACGAGGCTGGCATTCCTGCAATCAGGGCTCGGGGTGATTCACTTAGAGGCACGGACGTCCTTAGCGACACTAACGCGGCCAATCCCATGGGCCCCCAGAGCGCCCCAGAGGTCTGGGACGAGAACCCGATCTCCGCCCCGAAGATTGGCTGCTCGACATCGCAACTCGGTTCCTGGAGGCCGAAAATATCACGGCAGTGGAAGGCGGGGGCTCAGTGGCGGCCCTCAGGCACCAGTTTCGCTCAGGTGGGTCCTTCGGTTGCTCACTCCTACATCTCGGGGGTGGCCTGTCGCTCATTTTGGCATATGAGAAGGGGGGTCTCTTTCGCCCGGCCTGCCGAGGATCTGCCGGCGGCTGCTCGCCCTCTCGCTCGCGGCCGATGTGCAGGTGCGCAGCCGGCGGCGTCCGTCGGAGCTGAACGCCTCGGATGGGGGCTCGCGCCCTTGGGGAAGCGAGGGCGCGCGGCTGTGTGGGGGCGAGGCGTTTTGCCTCGTTCAAGGGCCCTGCCAAGCCGGCCAGGTCGATTCTCATGTCGCCCGTGCCCTTCAGCAACATCTGGGAGGTTGGGTCGCCAACGACCTGGCGCTGCCGGCGGCGAGGCCAGCGTCGTGGCCGCAGTGCCTCGGGGCCCTCCGCAGGCCGCGCGCGGTCTGCCTCCGCGGGGGCTTCGCGGCGAGCTCGGCGGAATCTGCTGACGCGGGGGTGGCCGAGCTGGACCGAGATGCACGCCGTCGGCAACGACAGGTCCGCGGGCCAGGTGCGCCATGCAGCCCGTCAGGCGACGTGCCCGTAGGCGGTCTGGGCCCTTCCAGGCCCGGGCGCGGCTGCGCCCTGCCGTCGCGCGGCCGCCGACGCCGCGGATCGTCGCGGCGCTGGTGGCCCAGGTGATGGTCCACTGGGAGGAGCCGCTGGCGGCGCTGATGGTCGTGCTCTGCTTCGCGGGCGGCCTCCGACCCTCGGAGGGCCTGAACCTGCAGGCAGCCGATGCGTTCCGTCGGAGGACACGAGGGGCAACTCGGGGACCCCGCTGGGGGCGAAGCGACTGCGGCGCAAAGAGGCGCGGTCGGCCCCCGCGCTGAGGGCCCAGGCCATCGCCGCAGCGACGAGCCTCTCTCGCATCCTTATGGCAGCGGTGAGCCGCCGCCGTGCACCCGCCAGAGGCGCGGGTGCGGCATCGAGGTTTTCGCTGGCTGCAGACGCTTCACTTTCGAGATCTCGCGGAGGGGCTTTCGCGTCTACACCTTCGACGTTGCCCACTCCGCCGACCAGGATGTCCTGGGGCCTGGCGCCTGGAGTGCACTCCTCTCTCTCTCTCACTCTCTCTCTCTTTCTCTCTCTCTCTCTCTCTCTCTCTCTCTCTCTCTTGTTATTCTCTCTCTCTCTCTCTCTCTCTCTCTCTCGCCAGCGCCGCCTCGTGCCGTCTCGCCTGGCCGGGCCCCCCCTGCGCTTCCTGGTCCAGAGCCCGGAGAGGGGGGTGCTGGCCCCGCCCTTCTCTGGGATTCAGGGCCAGGGCTGCTGGGCATCCCTGGCCTCTGCGATAAGGGCCACGCGAATGCCCGCCTAGGCAATGCCCTGATGCGCGCCTCCGCTTCCGTTGCCCGCGCGCGCATTCTCGCTGGCACTCGCGCTGCCATCGAGAACCCGATGACCAACAGGATTTGGCCGACGAGACCTCTCAACGCCTTGAGGCGCCTCGGGGCCGAGACCATCGCAGCCAGATTATGTCAGCGCGGGCCCCCCCGGCAAAACAATGCCTCCCTGCTCGCGCCTCACGGCCCCGAGCTCTCTGGCGTTCACGGATGCCGCATGGAGAGAGGCCGTTGTCCGGCCAGAGATAAGAAGCGTGAGCCGCTAGCAGGCAAGACATCACATGGTAAGTTGAAGACTCTTGTTGCACAGCCGTGCCCACAGTTATTTGTAGAGCGCGTGCGCGATCTTTGTTTCCAATCGCTTCGCTTAATGTTTCCGGACAGTCCCAAACTTGGGGTCGGGGATCCTGGCATGCGCTTCGTTGCCTTCGATCCGTGTGCGTTTCAGCTGGCCTGCTCTCAGGCCCTTCAGTGCTGTCGGATATGTTTGTCTTCTTTGGCGGCGGAAGATGAGCAGAGTCACATGGATGTGCTTGCTCGGGGATGCTGTTTGCAGAGTTGCAGTTCCGCCGTCTCTGCGTCCATCGGTCATGGGCACGATGACTCAAGTTGTTTTGGAGGGCAATCCCCAAGCCGACCCCTGTTCATCCTCCTGTTCAGATAGCTGAGGGATCCTGATATGCATGTCAGTGCCTTCGCTCAGTGTGCGATTCAGCTGGCCTGCTATGAGGCCCATCAGTGCTCTCGGATGCGTCTGTCTTCCCAGGCGGCAGAACATGATCAGAGCCACGGCATCATCACCAGCATCATCGTCATCATCATCATCCGCATCATCATCGTCATCATCATCATCATCATAGTCATTGAGTCATTGCCATCGCCACCGTCATCGTCACCGTCATCATCATCAGACTGTGCCTGCCCTCCCCCAGTATTGGTGCAATCTGGGCATCATCGACCCCCCAGGCGCATCATCACCGTTGTCGTCGTCATCGTCGAGGGATGGCGGGAGCATGGCAAGGTTGAGAAGGAGGAGGAGGAAAAGGAGGAGGACAAGGAAAATGAGGAGGTGGCGGGACGGCGACAAGGAGGAGGAAGAGGAGGAGGAAAAGGGGAGGAGGAGAAGGATGACAAGGAAGAGGAGGAGAAGGACAAATGTTTCCCCTTTCCTGTTCCACCACCACCTCCACCTGCCTCATCCCTCCTACTCCTCCCTCCTCCTCCACCTCCTCCTCCTCCTCGTCGCCATCTCGCCTCCTTTTTCCTCCTCCTCTTCTTCCTTCCTCATTATCCTCCTCCTCCTCCTCCTCCCCCTCCTCCTCCTCTTCCTCCTCCTCTCCCTCTCCTTTCGCCTCCTGCCCTCCCTCCCCCCATGCTCCCCCGAGCTTCTTCCCGCCGAGGACGAGACCGACGACGCTGATGTTCGCGTGGAGCCCATCTCCCATGTGCTGCGCGGCGACATCGACGAGACCTCGCCCGAGGAGGGACCCCCCTCCAGGGAGGAGGAGGAGGAGGTGGTGGAGGAGGAGGAGGAGGTGGAGGAGGAGGAGAGGGAAGTGGAGGAGAGGGAAGAGTAGGAGAGGGAAGAAAAGGAGGAGGAGGAGAAGGACCTCCCAGGAAAAGGAGGGATGAGGCAGGAGGAAGAGAAGGAACGTGCGGTCCCGATCCCCCAGAAAACATCCCTTGTGTTTTTTTCGCCAACCATCGGGAAATCCTGTGAGGGGAAGCGGTCGCCAAGCACCACCATGCTTTCGTACGCTCCGTAGTTCTGTCTGTCGTTATGGAGTTGGCGGGGCCAGGGCAAATGGGGGGTTTTCCTGGTAGAGGCACAGATCTTTCCTCGCTGAATACTCGGGTGACCCTGGAGTTCCTAACAAAAAAACGAGGCCGCACGGCCATCCTCTTGTTTTCTGATGTAAAATATGTTTCCTATAGACCGCTCAAGCAGTTTGTCGCTGACGCAGGGGAGTTCGACGAAGACGAAATCATAGACAGACTAACGGTTCCAGTAAGCCTTGTCCCTGCTTTCTCTGCGTTGTTGCGACAGCCGGCCCTCTTAGCTGTCAAGGCGCCTGCTCAGTTGTCTGACGTGCTCGCTGAGGCTGCTGGCGTCACGTGGTTCGGCGTGCGAGGGGCCGCGAATATCGCCATCCCCCGATGCGGGTCGAGGGCGGGAATGCCGCTCAGAGATTTGCTTTGTGTCGCAGGCTTCGCGCCTGCTCATGCTAATGTGCACAAGAGGCTTACAGCGGCGCGTCTCTCGGTGCCAATGGACGAGTATCAGGCTGTGTTCGATCGATTTGAAGAACCTCCTGGGTGGTTCCCTCTCTTTACAGGTGTTCGTGATAGCGGAGGAGAGGATCCTTGCACCCAGGGCGCTGCGTTTGTAGATGACATGATTACAATCACTTCCCAAGGGCACGAACTCAGAGTGGCACGAGGCGGTCATGTCAATATGTACTGTGGTGCATGAGGAGCTCATGAATGCGGGATTCACGCCCAACTATAGCAAAGGAGAAAGTGAGCTCAAGGTTGTTTTCGCGGGTGAAGGGTCAACTGTGGCCAGAGTCGAGTATGAAAAAAATCTCTTTCCCGAGCTAAGTATGGTTGGGGTCAAGTTATGTAAGACTGACGTGTACAAGTATTTATGGTATTTGCTCCACAGGGGTGGCTATTGGGGACCCGAGCGTCTCATCACTCTTGATCTACTCTCGAGGGTGCCAGGCACGTGGGCTTTTCTCGTCTGGGGCGATCTAGGTTGGCTCTCTGATCACGCCACGCTCCCACTTACCCACTCTCCTCCTGGCAATGCGTCCTGGTGGGTCCGTTTGTCGTGCGAGGTTCGTGTGTGGAAGCGTCTGCTGAAGTCGGCGGAAGTTGGGGCCACGAAGGTTGAGCTGGACCAGGCCAAGCTCCTTCTCTGGAGAAAAGACCTTCGTGAGCAATGCAAGAGTACTGATGTGCCTCCTCCCCCTTACGTGCGATGATCTTTCTGTTGAGCAGTTTTTTGTGTGCCCAGAGTGCGACGGCGTGTTCGACACAGTAGGTGCGTGGGCGGCTCACAGGACAAAACGCCATCCGTCGCTTGACCTGGCACGAACCGTCGCGGCTGGATCGTTTTGTCAAGGGTGTTGCAAACACTTCTTTGCTAACCTCAGGCTTTTAAATCACCTACGGCACGGCTCGAGCAGATGTCTTCCGTCCTTGCTCCAGGTGTTGCAGCCACTAACCGAGGAGCAAATTCAGACGCAGCGGGCCGAGAACGTCGAGATCGCGTCTGAGCTTGCTTCTGGGGGGTTGTATGCGGAGCAGGCGGAAAAGAAGTCATATCGGAGCGTCGGCCCGACGCTCCGAGGTGTGACAAATGAGCGGTGGAGTCGCCTTCACCCCGTCGGCCGCCCCGCTGATCAGTTTCAAGAGGCAGCTTTCCCGAGCGCGAGTCCGTTGCCGAGAGTGCCTCAGCCTGAGCAGATGTTTTACGTGCTACATGTCTTTTTCAGGCCAAAAGAGAAAAGCCGACCTACTGGATTACATCGATGCTGAAGCGAGAAGGTGCGGGTATGCTGTGATTGTGCTCAGCATCGATGTTGCCAATGACGAAATGCGTAGTAACCCAGCAAATAGAAAATCAGTGCACGAGCTTGTGAGTTAAGTTTTAAGGAGACGAGTCTGGGCTGTCTTGGCGAGCCCCCCGTGTGAGACTTTCTCACGTGCCCGTGCGCGCCCGCCCCCTCGTCGGTCTCTGTACCCTAGAATTATAAGAACCCTTTCAGTTCCCGTGGGAGCTCCCGGCAGGAGGGGGAGCCGAGTGGGAACAGCTCGATGTCTCAAACGCCCTCTTACGTACCACGATACAGTTTGCGTGCGCGTGCTGTACGGTGGGAGCTCGGTTCTTAATGGAACACCCAGGGTGCCCTATGGAGCCCCACCTAGTGAGTATTTGGAGATTGCCGGAGGTTAGGCATTTATTGACAATGCCAGAGTCAGCCCTTCTCAGCTTTGATCAGCGTGAATTCGGGGCCCAAAGTGTCAAACCCACCTCCCTCTTGACCCTCCGCCTCCCTCTCTTCGAGAAAACAATCCGTAGGATGCCCAACGGGGGTCGGTGCTCACATCAGTTTGGGCACCAGGCACTGCTCGGCCTCACAACCGCTGGTGAGTACAGAACGTCAGCGGCTAAACAGTATCCTGTCGATATGTGTAGAGCAATTGCAGTCGCCACTGTTTCAGGTTTGCCTCCTTCCTCTCTCAGCGTTGCGGAGCTATTCGACCAGATTGAGGCCAGGACTCCGCATGTGTGTGTGCTTTCTTTACGCCGCTGGATCCGTACTGTGAAGATCACCCGTGGGGCAGATTTCACCACGATCGTGCGGCTCAGCCTCGATCTCAGTTCAGTTGTGCGTGTACATTCTCATGAAGTTGCTTGACCATGATTGTACGCGTGCGCGTTTCACTTAGAGCGCATGTGTCCACAGCGGTCTAGAACCCCAATGGCAATGGGAACAGAACAGGTGGAGGAGGAAGAGGAAGAGGAGGAAAACGAGGAGGAGGAGGAGGAGGAGGAGAGGGAAGATGAGGAGAGGGGATATGAGGAGGAGGAGGAGGAGGAGGAGGAAGAGGAGGAGGAGGAGGAGCATGAGCAGGAGCAGCAGGAGGAGGAGGAGGAAGGACTTGAGCACACGGGGTGGCAGTCCACTTACGCCGCGGCAGAGAACCGGGCAGGAGGGCTGTTCTCTTCCTCCTCCTCCTTTTCCTCCTCCCTCACGTCCACCTCCCTCCCTGTCCTCCTCCCTCTCTTTTCCCTTCCCCCCTGTATCGACGACGACGATAACACCCGTGGCTACCACGGCCATCGCGGCGACGACGGCAGCGGCAACTACGACGACGGCGCTCACGACGACGCCGACGACGACGACGACACCACTACGACTACGACGACGACGCTCACGACGACAATGCGACAACCGCTGTCGATGATGCAGGTGGCTGCACTGGTCCACGCAGTCAGGGAGGAAGAGGAGCAGCTGGAGCCGTTGGAGGGGGGCGAGGAGGGCACGAGCGGAGAGGAGGGAGGAATCTGAGCAGGGAGTAGGAGAGGGCAGGTACAGGTACCAAGGAGATGATGGTGCTGCTGATGATGGCGGTGACGGTGACGATGATGAAGATGATGATGACGATGATGATGATGATGATGATGATGATGATGATGAGAAAGATCATGACGATGATGATGATGCTGCTGATGATGCTGACCATTATGATGATGGTGACGGTGACGATGATGATGACGATGATGATGATGCTGATATTGATGGTGATGGTAAGTGTGGTAGCGATCATGATGATATAGCTGCTTCTGATGATGATGTTGATGACGACGACGATGACGATGATGATGGCGATGGCGATGGTGATGGTGAGGAAGATGATAATGATTATGATGCTGCTGATGATGATGACGACGATGGTGATGATGATGATGATGATGGTGGTGGTGTTGGTGATGCTGATACTGATGGTGTTGGTGATGATGGTGATGGCGACGTTGGTGATGATGAATTTGATGATACTGCTGCTGTTTGTGATGATGATGATGATGATGGTGATGATGGTGATGATGATGATGATTGTTGTGATGGTGATGGTGATGGTGATGGTGATGGTGATGGTGATGGTGATGGTGATGGTGATGGTGATGGTGGCGACAATGATGATGATGATGATGATGATGATGATGATGATGATGATGATGATGATGATGATCACGATTCTGTTGATGATGACGATGATGATGCTGATAACGATGATGACGACGGTGAGGATGATGATGGTGGTGGTGGTGGTAGAGCTGGTGTTGATGATTGTGCTGTTGATGGTGATGCTGATTATGATGCTGGTGCTGATGATGGTAGTGATGCTGATGGTGATGATGATGGCAATGACGATGGCGATGATGATGATGATGATGATGATGATGATGATGATGATGATGATGATGATGATGATGATGATGATGATGATGATAATGGTTGTGATGGTGATGGTGTTGATGATGCTGATGATGATGGTGGTGGTGGTGCTGGTGTTGATGATTGTGGTGCTGTTGATGATGATGAGGAGGAGGAGGAGGCTGAAAAGGAGGAGGAGGAGGGGAGGAGTAGCAAGAGAAAGGGAGGGAATGAGGCGGGGATTCGGAGAAACAGGAGGCCGAGGCAGGGGGAGGAGAAGGAGAAGGGGCAGATGGAGGACGCAAGAAACACGGAGAGGAGAAATATGTGATGAAGGGAAAGAAGAGGAGGAGGCGGAGGAGGAGCGATGATGAGCACGATGATGAGCACGATGATGATGATGATGATGATGATGATGATGATGATGATGATGATGATGATGATGATGACGATGATGATGGTGGTGATGATGGTTGTGATGATAATGATAACGATGATGATGATGATGATGATGATGATGATGATGATGATGATGATGATGAGGATGAGGATGAGGATGAGGATGAGGATGAGGATGAGGATGAGGATGAGGATGAGGATGAGGATGAGGATGAGGATGAGGATGAGGATGAGGATGAGGATGAGGATGAGGATGAGGATGAGGATGAGGATGAGGATGAGGATGAGGATGAGGATGAGGATGAGGATGAGGATGAGGATGAGGATGAGGATGAGGATGAGGATGAAGATGCGGATGAGGATGAGGAGGAGGATGAGGAGGAGGATTCGAAGGGTGCGGAATACTATGGATGATGATCATGATGATGAGGAGGACGAGGATGACGAGGAGGAGCAGGAGCAGGAGCAGAAGCAGGAACAGGAGGCGTGATTAGAAGGCTGGAGGGAGGAGCATGTGGATGAGTGAAGGGAGGCGGGAGCGAGGTAGAAGAGGGAGGTGGAGGAGGAGGAGGAGGAGGAGGAGGAGGAGGAGGAGGAGGAGGAGGAGGAGGAGGAGGAGGAGGAGGGGACCGGGAGGAGGAGGGTGGTAGGTGGAGAAGGAGGAGGCGGGGGATGGAAGGAGGGGGGAACAGGTGGATGAGGAGTATGAGAAGGCAGCAGAGGAAGCGGAGGAGCTCGAGGAGGGATCGTGATGATGACGACGAGGGAAGGACGAAGAGGCCGAGGGAGGGAGGGAGGATGCTGATCAAGATGGGGGAGAAGAGGAGGACGACGACAAGAGGAGGAGGAGGAGGAGGAGGAGGGGGAGGAGGAGGAGGAGGAGGCAGCCGAGGCGGAGGAGCCGAGAAGGCCGTGGGGCCCCTCCCCGGGCCGGGCGGCAGAGCCGCCGTGGCCTCGCCCGGCCCTCGCCGCCGCCCCGCGCGCCCAGGAGGTCGAGCGCCTGGAGGCGGCGGCGAGGGAGGCGCTTCGCACGCACGCCTCGCTGGACGGGCGGCCCCGGCGCTGGCCTCCACGCCAGCAGTCATTGTCCTGTCGTCGTCGTCGTCGTCGTCGTCGTCGTCGTCGTCGTTGTCGTCGTCGTCGTCGTCGTCGTCGTCGTCGTCGTCGTCGTCGTCGTCGTCGTCTCGCTCTCTCTCTCCCTCCCCTTCCGTCGTTGTCGTCGTCCGCCTTCTCCTCCTCCACCCTCCCTTGTCTTCGGTCCCCCTTCCCTTCTTCTTCTTCTCCTCCTCCTCCTCCTCCTCCTCGTCCCCTCCTCCTCCTCCTCCTTCCTCCTCCTCCTCCTCCTCCTCCTCCTCCTCTTCCTCCTCCTCCTCCTCTTTCTCCTCCTCTTCCTTTTCGTCCTCCTATTTCGTCGGCCTCATTGGCCTCGTTCCCCTTTCTCTCATCCTCCTCTTTCATCGTCGTCGTCCTCCTCCTCCCCCTCCGCCCTCCGCCTCCCAATCACCATGCACACCATCACCATCATCGTCACCATCACGGTCGCCATCGCGACCTGCTAAACAAAACAGTAGCAGGGGCCGACGGCGCAGAGAAAAACGAAACATCGCCACAATCACCATTCCCACCACCATCATCTGCCTCATTTTCCAATTTACCATTTGCTCTCCTCAACCTCCTCCTCCTCCTCCTCCTCCTCCTCCTCCTCCTCCTCCTCCTCCTGTGCAGTCGGCGGAGGCACTCTCTTGGCCTTTGCGTCAGGGCTCCCTGCTGATCTGGCGGGGGCTGGCGTCCGGTACCAGCATTACCCCCGAAGCAGCACAGCTGGCCGACCCGGAAGCTGCTCGTCCGCCGGGTCAAGACAGGGGCGGAGAGCTCGCGTGCCGACCGCCTCCTGCGAGGCGAGCGCTGGCAGCTCTGGAGAGAAGTCTGCGGACCCGGCGCGCCGAGTCTGTGGCAGCGCCGCCTTGCTGGACCACTCCAGGCCTACAATGCTTGATGCTCTGCCGTTGACCAAGGTACGGCGGGTTCGTGTCGTGTCGACGCGGCGGCTACCCAGCCACGGGCGTTCGAGGTTGAGCGCCGTCAGCGGCCCAGACTCGACCAACGTGGAACGAACTGGAGATCGAAAAGTCGCCGATCGTCCAAGGTTAAGCGATCCGCGTGGTGTCAGGAGCCAACGCCGGCCCGACCGCCTCTTGGACCCAAGACACCCAAGACTTGGCCCAAGGGATCTGGCGTCGATGAGGACAAGCCTGGAGGCCTCGCGCGGCGCACATTTTTTTATTATCTAGTACACACGTCCGCCCCTTCAGATACGGGACGACGTTTGGACGTTTGTGCGGCGATGTTCCAACGTAAGCCCTGCGTAAATCCGTTGTGGATCCGACGTGCACTGAGTCTCAAATTGCCGCGCCAGGCCTCCAGGATTCTCCTCATTACGCTAGCTGACGCTGGCGAAACTGAGGCGACTCGGACTCCGACGCTGAACCACGAACACTTTCCCCCTACGCCCTCCCCTCCCACGAAGACTTCGACCAAGACCACTGAGGGCTCTGGCCCACCCGCGCTGGCCCGAGAGGCCCCGCCCGTCCGCGGGCACTGGCCCTCCTCCTCCTCCTGCTTCTCTTCCTCCTTCTCCCTCCTCCTCCTCCTCCTCCTCCTTCTCCTCCTTCTTCTCTCCCTCCTCCTCCTTCTCCTCCTCCTCCTCCTCGTCATCATCATCATCATCATCATCATCATCATCATCACCACCATCATCATCATCATCATCATCATCATCATCATCATCATCATCATCATCATCATCATCATCATCATCATCATCATCATCATCATCATCCGTTCCTCTTCCTTCTCTTCCTTGTGACTAACTCCTCCCTCTCGCAGCCCGTGGCCAGTCGCAAGGGCGGGCCAGGCGTTCCGCTGGAGACCTCCTTACTATTTATGAGCCTCAAGATGAAAAATTGGCAGCAGCTTCACAGACGGAGGGCGGGTCGCTTCCAGAATGCAACTCTCGCTTCAGCGCCGCGCACATTCGTCTTGAACAGTTGCAAGAGCTTCACGGGCTGAGAGCGGGCCGTTTTCAGAATGCAGTTCTCGCACGAGCGCCGCGCACATTCGTTGGAAAAGTTTGCATGCTCTTCACAGAGGGCGGGTGGTTTTGAAAATGTGGTGATCGCCTAACTCCACACAGGTTCGTCTTAAAACTTTGCCAGAGCTTGATGCACTGAGGGCGGTTCGTTTTCAACATGTGGCTCTTGCATTAACGCCGCGCACATTCGTTTGGAACGTGTGCAAGAGCTTCACGGATTGTGGGCGGCTCGTTTTCAACATGTTGTTCTCGCGTTAGCGCCTCGCACATTCGTTTGAACAGTTTGCAAGGATTTTATGGATTGAGGGTGTCTCGTTTTCAACATGTGGTCTTCGCCTTAGCGCCGCGCGAATTCGTTTGAATAAGTTTCAAGAGCGTCTTTGATTGAGGGCGGGTGGTGTTCAAAATGTGGCTCTCGCACCTTAGCGCCGAACAAATTCGTTTTAAATGTTTACCACAGCTTGATGGATTGAGGGTGGTTCGTTTCCAACAGGTGGCTCTCGTTGTAGCGCCGTGCACTTTCGTTCGGGTCAGTTGCAAGAGCTTCACGGACTAAGGCGTTTCGGTTTCAAATGTTTGTTATGTTGTTAGCGCCGTGCACATTCGTTTTAACATTGTGCAGAGGTTTCCAGCTGTTCCAAGGTTAGCGCACCAGAAAGGGCGTTTCTGGAACGATTCTGGTTTGCCAAGGCGCAGCAGTTCCGTTGATTCGCGGTGTTGAAGTCTCAATCAGGGTGTTCTGACACGGTGCATGATCGCCATGAGGCAGCAGATAGGTTGTTTCGTGGCGTTGAAGTCCCTAGAATGGTGTTATGGCGCGCATCATGATTTCCACACGGGTGCCCCTTAGCGGGGTATTTCCTTAGTCAAAAGGATTCCCCAGATGGGGTTTGTGAAGAGGGAGCCTGGAGGGGGGGTATTCCAACATCGTTGGTGAGAGTTGGATGTGCGTTGGTCCACATCCTCCTCCTCCTCCTCCTCCTCCTCCTGCTCCTCCTACTCCTCCTCCTCCCCCTCCTCCTCCCTCTCTTTTCCTCCCTCTCTGTGTCCCTCCTCGCGCGCGAGCGCCAGGAAAACGCCACGGGCGCGCAGGCGAAG